CCCTCTTGGAGGGTAACAAGGGAAAGTGTTCAGTGCAGATCAGTGAGTAAGCACCAGCCCGCCCGTGCTTACCTTGCTCCCGGAGACCCGGTCCCTCTTGGGAGGGTAACAAGGGAGCCGTCTGAGCACTAGTGACTGGGTTTTACCCCTTTCTCCTGTTCTTCCAGCCTGCTACTCTGTGCTACGCCCGTGCTTACCTTGCTCCCGGAGACCCGGTCCCTCTCGGGAGGGTAACAAGGGAGCCGTCTGAGTACTAGTGACTGGGTTTTACCCCTTTCTCCTGCTCTTCCAGCCTGCTTGCCCTAGGAGCTATATTTTCCAGCAGTACGCCTGTGCCTGTATGGACAGGGACAGCAGATAACCTCCCACAAGACCGAATTCTCAGAGGATCCAACTGACGATCCCAGCACATGCCACGCGGGGGCGCCCCAGGACAGAAGTTGCAACCGCCTTCAACATCTCCCTGCTCCCTACGCCCTACCACCCCACACACAGCCCCACCCCACCCCCCACTCCCCTCCGTGCTTGTCGCCAGCTCGGGGAGAGGCATTGCACCCAATTCCCTGCAGACACCCTGTTCCAGGCAAAGGGAGGCTAGGGACACAGACCAGGACTAGAAGCCCAGGGCACAAAGCAGAAAAGGACTACAGGTCCCACTGAGGCCTCAGCCTAAAGATACCTCTATAGGATCCTGGGTGAGTCACTTCAGGTGCGGGCCTCCGTCTCTGTTCAGTGGGCTGATACCAGTACTCATCTCAGAAGATCAGTGTGAGGATAAAATGAGACTATGTATGGTAAGGACACACAGGGAACGCTCAAAAGATTAATGCTAAATTTTGTTATGTTACATTAACTTTACGGAGCTCTGGAGATGTAGTGGGAGCTCTGGTGGCATAGTGCCTAAGGCATTTGATTGCTAACCAGAAGGCTGGCAGTTCAAACCTACCAGCCACTCCTCAGAAGGAAGACTGGGCAAACTACTTCTCTAAGAGATACCCCTCGCAAACCCCAAGGAGGGGTCACTATGAGTCGGGACCAACTTGAAGGCAGAGAGTTTGGTTTTTTATACTGCTGGAAGATGAGCCTCCTGGGGTAGAAGGCGCTCAAACACAGTGCCCAAAACAATGACGATGAGGACTGGGTACTGTTTCCTTCTGTTGTGCATGGGGTCACCATTTTGTCGGCTGGAAACAACAAATACTGTGGCTTCCCACATGCACGTGCCCAGCCCAGCACTCCCTCCTGAACCCCATACCAGTCCATTCACCTGCCCACTTGATACCTCCCAGTGTGTCCCTGGGGCATTTCTAATCCACCTGGCCAAAACTGAGATCCTGATCCCAGCCCCGAAAAGGCAGCTAACTCCATTCAATGTTTCCCACATTAGCTCACAGCAGTGCTATCCTTGCAGGTGTTCAGACCCAAACCTGGATTCCCCTTTCTCCCAGGCCCCACGAGACCCATCAGCAAGCCTGCCCAGTGCCAGGAGGCGCTTAATAATGTGGTCTGTTGACACAATGATTGACATGAATTGTCCCAAAAAGGCTAAGTTTATATCCAAAGATAAACGGCTCCCCAGCTTCCTAACCCACAGCTTCTCCCAACTGCTTCCCAAAGGCCAGGAGCCTCTCACAGGAGGGATAAGCATCTGGCCCGGCTAGACACATCCCTGCTTTTATTTATTCTACACAACTCAGAACACTCAAGAGACGGGCCTTTGAGCAAGGAAGGAAGGGACTTGCCAGGGGCTGGCTTTACAAAAAAACAACAAAAGTAAACATATGGAGACCCTGGGAAGTAGCCCACTCCAGTGGAGTAGAAAGTGAGGTCCAGGGCCAAAGCTGTGACTTCAGGCTCCAGCTCCCAAGTCTCGAATTTGGAAGTCCCCACAGTCCGCAGGGGCGGGGCTCGAATCCGAATGGCGGGGCTTAGGTCTTGGGAAGGCTCAGTTGGTGGGTTCTGCGGGCCCCACACACACACACACACACACACACGAGAAGGCGTGGTCTTAGCTTCCAGTGTCTAAGAGGAGCTAGACTTAATTCCCCGTGATCCTGGGGACAGGGCCTGGGCCTAGGGGGCGGGGCCGAGCGTGGTCCCTCAAACTCCTGAGGGCAGGAACTGGAACTCAGGAGGTGGAGTCAGGCGCTCAGGAGCTGGAGCCAGGCCCTCAGGAGGCGGAGTCTTGCCTTGAAGGGTGTAGTGGCCCCGTAAGTCAGCCTTCTCACAAGTAGAGCCTAGCCCTCCAGGGCGGAGCATGGACGTGGTCTTTTCGCTCAGGACCCGGGGCCAGGCCCTCAGTGGGCGGAGCCTTGCCTTGAGGGGCGTGGGCAGCACCATCCGGCTGCTCAAAGGTGAATCCTGAGCCTCTCTGGGCCGGGCCTGTCCCTGGGAGCCCAGACCCGCGCGCTCAGGCCCGTGGAGGTAGTGGCTCCACGTTCAGCCAGATGCCACTCTCGGTGCGCAAGATGAGCTCGGGCTTCCGCCGCACCTTGCGAGTTCGGTCCACGCTCAGGCGGAAACGCAGCAGCGTCAGCGCTACCACCACACGCATCTCAGCCATGGCGAAGCTCTGTCCGATGCAGTTCCTGGAAGAATGGGGAACCTAGAAGTCAAGCTTCATTTTGCATGCTGAGGGCCTCCCGTTCCCATCTTGGGTGGGTAAGGGTGAAAATAGGATCCCAGAATCTCTAAATAAATGTAACCTGGGGGTCTGAGTTCAGATTTTCGTGCTGCCTGTTATAGAGCTGTTGGGAGCAGGGGAGACCAGAAGTCGGGGTCTGGCACTGAGTTGGCACTGCTATTGCAGAGTCTGACTTGGGGGCCTCCGGTACATTGAGGGTGCAGAGTGGGCACCAGGACCGTGAGGCGCAGTCTCTGCTCCTTATGGGCACATCCCTGACCCTCCAGGTCCTCGGGGTTCCTCCCACACTTGGCTGGAACTTTACCTGGGTCCGGCTGAGAAGGGCACGTACGCCAATGGTGAGCGCTGCTGCGGGTTATCGGGATCAAAGCGGTAGGGGTTGTACACCTGGGAGCACGAAGAGCCACGGGGTGAGTCTGGACACTAGCTCAGCCATCCCATCCTGCCCCCCTCCTTCAGCCTCTCGGGCCAGCTCAGCTGGATTAAGAGAACCCTGAAGCTGAGCAGGAGGTGACAGCATGTGTAGGTGAGCCCCCCATCACCCCAGAATCAACTCTAAGCACCTCACCCAGCTACACACAAGCCCTCCTTTTCCATTCCACCCACAGTCACTACAATCCATTCCCACTGGCCTCCTCCTGTCCTTCAAGCAAGGCAAACTCATTCCTACCTCAGGACCTTTGCACTTGCCATTCCTTCTACTGGGAATGCCCTTCCCCTTGCTCCTCACACCCTTCCAGTCTAAGCTCAAGCATCTTTTCTTTGTCAAGGCCTTTCCTGATCATCTGAACTAAAGTGCCTGCCTCGGTTTTTCTTTCTTTCATTGCACTTAACCAATATCATATTTATTTACTTGCTTATTGTCTTTCTGGGAGCTCTGGTAGCATAGTGGCTAAAGCACTTGACTGCTAACCAGAAGGCTGGCGGTTCAAACCCACCAGCCACTCCTCGGAAGGAAGGTTGGGCAATCCTACTTCCGTAGTGATACTGCCTTGGAAACCCAAGGAGGGGTCGCTATGAGTCGGGGCCGACTCGACGGCACATAACAACAACAACAACATTGTCTTTCTATACAATACTGTGAGTTCTTTGGGGACAAGTATCTGGCTTGATCATCTCTCCATACTCAGTGCCCAGCTCAGGGTCTAGCACACAGTAGATGTTCAATACATCCTTATTGACCTGACAAATTAACAGTGAGCGATGTGAGCTCTGGCAGTGTAATGCCTAAGCCATTTGACTGCTAACCAGAAGGCTGCTGGTTCAAACCCACCAACCATTCATTGGAAGGAAAACGGGGCAGTCTACTTCCATGGAGATACTGCCTCGGAAACCCAAGGAGTCCCTATGAGTTGGAATTGACTCGATGGCAGTGAGTTTGGTTTTAGAGTTTTTGGTGTGAGTAAGTGGGAGTGTTCAGCCCTGACTTGCTGGAGGCAGGAGTGGGGAGGCCCCACTGGATCAAAGAAGGAGTTGAAAGCAAAGAAGGCCAGAGCTTCCTCACCTTGGCATCTGGCCACACTGAGGGGTTGTGGTGGGTCCCATAGATGCTCACCAGGCAGATGATTCCTGCGGCAAGAAGTGAGGACAGTGGGGCTGAGGTGAGCCCGGCCTCCCCATGACCCACCACTTCTTCCCTGCAAAATTCTGCTGCCTCATCTAATCCCCTGCTTCTCCCTGCAAGGTGCCTGTCACCTCCTGCCTTCTTTGCAGCTTCCATCCTGGACCTACAGAGACTGTCCTCACTCACACATCCAACACTGATCCTGCTCAGCTCAAACACCTCCCATGACTACCTACTCCCATCAAGATCGAGTTCAAGTGCCTTAACCTGGCATTCAAGGCTTTTCACAATCCCTGAGGATCCACATGCTCTTTCACTTCCAGTCTCCGAGGCTCCTCTCCCATGTTTCCTCTTCCAGGAAGCTTACCCTGCATTCCTACCCAGAAAGAGCCATAACTCCACATTTGGGGGTGCCCCAGCTCCTATCCTATCCCTGACCCATATGACTAGAGCTGTCTCTCCCTGCTGTCTCTCCTCAAGACTGGATGATACCCAAGACCTCTCTAGATGCCCACACCACCCAGGGCAGAGTTTGGTCCTTAGTAGATACCTGGAAATAGAATGAAACCAACCCTCCCCACTTGCACCCTCACAGAGCCCATCCTCACCACCCTACTCCTTCCTTTCCACCTAGACTCATCTGCCTCTGTCTCCACACACACATACAAGTGGGTCTCCCACCATTCCAGGGGCACACAGTGAGCTGCCCCATCTGTGAAGACAGTGCACCTTTTGGGATGATACGCCCGTCTGGGAGCTTGACATCCTCTGTGCAGCGGCGTGAGATGAGGGTCACAGGTGGGAACTGGCGTAGACTCTCCTTGATGCACATAGTAATGAAGGGCAGCTGGGTCAGGTCATCCCTGGGGAGAAGGGAGCTGTGACTTGGGGCCAGGCTATGGCAACACCCTCACCCCAAACACACACACACACTCAGGAGCAGCTGAGCAGAGAACCTCAGCTCAAACACCTCCCCTGCCTCCCTACTGCCCTCAAGATCAAGTTAAAGTACCTCAATCTGGCATTCAAGGTCTTTTACAATCCACACCCTAAGACTCTGCTCCATAACCTGCTCGTGAGCTCAGGTGGACCCCAGCTTCCATCATTTGCAGTTGCCCTGTGCACACCCCACTAACACTCAGTGTTATGGATTGAATTGTGTCTCCCCAAATATGTGTTGAATCCTAACCCTGAGTGGCACGAATGGTTAAGCTCTTAACTACTAGCCGAAAGATTAGTGGTTCGAACCCACCCAGGGCTGTCAAAGAAAAGGTCTAGCAATCTGCTCCCATAAAGATTACAGCCAAGAAAACCCTATGGAGTAGGTTTACTCTAACACATGGGTCACCATGAGTCCTTTGCTAGCAATTGCTCTTTCCTGATGACGTGCCCAAAGCCAGCTGAAGTCTTAACAGCCTTGCTTTTAGGGAGTGTTTCTTCTAAGACACATTTGCTTGTTCTTCTGGCACAACACGGTATAGTCAATATTCTTCATCAACACCACAGTATAGATGCAACCTTTCATCTCTTTGGTCTTTTTTTCATTACTTAATCATTATTTACTCATTCTATTTTTACTATCCTATTATTTACTTATTCTATTATTCTTTTCCTTTGAAATTCGAGGCACCACATTGTATTAACCATAACTGTTATTTCATGATCCAGCCGAGTAAACCCTATGGAGCACAGTTCTGCTCTGTAACATACACTTCTGCTCTGAACACGTTGTCACCAATGTCACATATTGTTACCCATGTGTTACCATGAATCAACTTGACAACAATGGGTTTATTTGGGGTTTTTTTTTTATGTGCATTATTATCATCCTCACTGTAAAACAGAAGCTCAAGGAGCTGAAGTGACTTGTCCAAGATCACACAGTCAATACATGCCTTCCCGCCTCACTCCCCCAACCCCAACTGACCACTCCAGTTCATCCAGCTCCCGGCCTCTCAGCACATCCTGAATCTCCTCCCGGCACTTCTCCTGGTATTCCGGGTACTTTGCCAAGTTGAATAGCACCCACGAGAGCCCACTGGAGGTTGTGTCATGACCTGCAGGAAAAGGCAGTGTTGAGTAGAAGCTCCTGGACTCCCTTGAGACAGTGTTAGGATGGCTGAGTAGTCTAAGGTGCCAGACTGAAGTTCTGCTTTCTCTAGCTGGGGATTCTGGTCTCTGGATGGAGGCGTGGGTTCAAATCTCACTTCTGACACAGTGACATATTTAAGGAGCTCTGGTGGTGTAGGGGATAAGGCATGGCTGCTAACCAGAAGGCCAGTGGTTCAAACCCACCAGCCACTTCACTGGAAGATGGGGCAATCTACTTCCATAAAGATTTACAGCCTTGGAAACCCAATAGGGGTCGCTACAAGTTAGAAATGACTTGATGGCAGTGAGTCTGGTTTTTTGGAGAGATAGCAAGGTGCTGTCTTTGGACAATAGTGTCCCTTCCCCATAGCCTCACCCTCAAACATGAAGGTGTCAGCCTCAGCTCGGATGTCTTCATTGGACAGCTCTTTCCCATCTTCATCCTGGAAGGAAGGATTATGAAATGATGAGGCAGAGATGCTCAGCCCACTTCACTCCACCCCCTGCAACCTAGGTATTCCTCCAAAGACAGATACAGCTCCCCTTCTCTCTGAAGCCAAACTATGGGAGGAAATGGTCCAGGCAGGTAGAGGTGTGCAACTTGTCTAGGAAAGAAGGAAGGAGAGTAAAAGGTGAGGGACAGAAGAGTTCACATTACTTGAGCAGCTCCTAACAGCAAGCATCATGCTGGGTACCTGACAACACCCTGTGAAGGGCTTACTGTGATCAGGCTATAAATGGGGAAATGGAGGTTCAGAGAGGGGAGTAATAGAACCAAGAGCAAGATACCCAGTAAGTGATCGGGATTGAAGTCCATGACTACCCAGATTGAGAACCCAAGTTCTGCTCCACCGGGCCACAGAAGCACCACTAATAGGTGACTCTGTCCCTGGGTGGTGGAAATGGTTGACATACTCGGCTGCTAAAACTAAAGGTTGGAGGTCAGAGTCCACCCAGGGGCACCTTGGAAGAAAGGCCTGGCAATCTACTTCCAGAAGTTCAGCCATTGGAGACTCTATAGAGCATGCCACGACGTGGATGAACCTTGAAAACATTGTGCTGAGTGAAATCAGTCAGTCGCAAAAGGACAGATACGGTATGGTTATGTACATGAAATAAGCAGATACATAGAAAGAAAAGATTATTAGTGGCTACCAGGGTGGGAGGAAGGGGGAAAGGAGGAGTTTTTGCATAGTGGGCAGTGAGTTTATGTTAATGGTGGTGAAATGATTTGGAAAAAGATAGCAAGAATGATTACACAGCTTGAAGAATGTAATCAATGTCACTGAATGTACATTAAAAAATTGAGATGAAGTATGCTTTGTTCTATTCTTAGTATCCTATTATTTGCTTATTCTATTATTCTAGAATGTATATGTCAGCACAATTGTTTGAAAAAAACTGAAAATGAAGGAAAGAAAAAGAAAATCTAATACCACGTAGTCCTCTCCTGACACACATGGGGTCACCATGAGTCAACTCGAGGCAACTAGTATACCTCTTCAAGTGTCACCTTTCCTCAGGGTCTCAGGTTTCATCTTTGTAAGTCTTATGTGTTCTGCATCTGACTCCATCCTAGATCTGTGTTAATATTAATATTGAACCTTGTATGCAGTTGGTGCTAAATATATGGGGAGGTGGGCAGGGCTCCACCCTCCACGGCCCAGCCTCACCTTGGCCAAGAGTAGCACATCAATGAAGTCCAAGGTCTTGCCCTGCTTGGCCTTCAGCCAGGCCTCGGCCCCCTGCTCACGCAGTGCCTGCCGCCGCTCCTGGATGACCTCGGTGGTGAAGTGGTGCACAGTGTCACAAGCCTTCCGGAAACGCCGCCCGTCTTCTGTGAGGTAGTAGATGAAGTCGAAGTAGTGGTGCAGGCGATACTGGCGCCGAACCACCAGGGCACTTAGCTCAATGATGGCCGAGATATAATCACTCATCTTCCTGCCAAGAAGAGAAAGGACCATGAGCAGTGGCCCAGCCCCTGGCCCCAGGCCAGCAACACCCACGACTTGGCAAAAGTCACCTCCTCTTCCCATTAGGTGGATGACAAAGAGAGACCCAGATAGGGACAAGGACTTCCAGCACAGACATAGCATCAATAAAGCTAAATTGCTACAACCTGTTGGATGGGAGAAAATGCAATGGAACTTGTGAGAGCAAGAACTCAGTGGAACTGCCTTATTTTTCTGGGTTTTAAACGTTTTCCACTTTTATGGGGGGTGGGGGTGAGAAGAGAGCTGTTACATTGTGAGAAATTGCAGTCAATGTCATGAGACAAAATGTGTATGAACTGCTGTATGGAAAGTGATTTTGCTCTGTAAACTTTCATTCAAATCACAATTAAAATTAAAAAAAATAATAAAATTCCACTTTTGACAAGATGTGGTCTTACCAGTTTTCTATTGCTCTCTATTAGCAGAAAATATTTTTCAGTTTTCCTTCCCAGCACAGGTTCCACCTTTCACAAGTTTTATTGTATTTGCAAACCATATATCTGATAAGGCACTAGAATATATAAAGAACTCTTACAACTCAATAATAAAAAAGACAAATAGCCCCATTAAAAAATGAGCTGAGAATATGAACAGACATTTCTCCAAAGACGCTATACAAAAGACCAATAAGTACACGAAAAAATGCTTAACATCATTGTTGTTGTGTTATGTGCCGTCGAGTCGGCCCCAACTCATAGCAACCCCTCCTTGGGTTTCCGAGGCAGTATCACTACGGAAGTAGATTGCCCCATCTTCCTTCCAAGGAGCAGCTGGTGGGTTTGAACCACTAGCCTTCTGGTTAGCAGTCAAATGCCTTAGGCACTATGCTACCAGAGCTCCTTCAACATTAGCCATCAGGAAAATGCAAATCAAAACTACAATGAGATACCATTTCACACCCACAAAGATGGCTAGAATCAAAGTTACATAATAATAAGTGTTGACAAGGATGTGGAGAAAATGGAATCCCTGTGCATTGTTGATGGAAATGTAAAATGATGCAGCCACTTTGCAAAAAAGTTGACAGTTCCTTAAAAGTTAGAACTACCGACTGGGATCTTAAAAGCTAGCAAG